TTATTGCCCAGACTGACAAATAAAAATCAATAAATTATCATGAATTTGTAAAATAAACATAACATTGTTGAGCCAAACTCTGGAAAAATGACAAAATCATATAGAAATTAACATATTTATTTTCATGCAGTTCCCTTCATCTTTGATTTGGCTTCATATTTAATATTCATTGAACCAAAGCTGCAATTAATGTCTCTGTATCTCTTTATGTGATATTCCGGAATGCTGACCCTTACATTCCAGTAATTGCATTTTTTAAGTGTGGACTTACCTGTTTTCTGTTGTTCTCTTCAGTGTTTTCTAAAATTTTAACATGCTAAAGGTTTCAAATAATATACAAGCTAAGTCATTATTGAACAGTTCAAAAGGCATGATCAGATAAATTTGTTGGGGTCAATGTGCCAAAGAAATTTGCATATAGGGAAGATAAGAACTGTAGTTGAGCATTTTGCAAGTAAGCAGATTTGGAATGTCAGAAAGAGTTTTCAGATGTTCTTTATCTCTTCTCGTGTGCTTTGGGATACTTGTTTCTACAAGTATTCTGGTTATTTTTTATGGGATTACTTTACTTTTTGGTATTAGCAGCATGTGAGATGTTTTACCTTTATCTTTGGACATGAAACTGATCTTTATTATGAAGTCAAGCTGCTTATCTCTAGAACATAATCTATTCTATTTGGCAGCTTTATAAAAGATCTTAATATGGACAACTTTAATTGGAACCTACCTATATACTCAAAATTCAGACTTGGAAGTAAGAATTACTTTGGCTGAAAACTGAATTCTGTTAGTTGTTTGAAAATCTTTACAGGTTATATTCCTCCCTAGTATCTATTGTTTTATTTTCTTTTAGCAATTCTAGACTTTAATCATTTTTCTTAAGGAAGATTCTCAATTTTCTATGCACGAGAGAGCAAGTGGAGATATTTTTTCATAATACAATCTGTGAATGACAAGTTGGAACGTAAAATCTATGCAAGAAGGTGTTCCTAGTGTTTGAAAACATGATGGAATCTCCTCCTCTGAAAATCACATATGAACTTTCATCTTGTTTGCATCCTGAAAACCTAGCAAGTTCCTTTCATGTTAACAGCCAGTATTAAAACTGATTTAATTAACTCTGTTGCTATTTTATTTTTACAAAATCTTTTGGCCATGTTATGTAATGTCAATAATATAATTTTTTATCCATTGATCTGAGTCACTGTGTCATAGACGGTAAACCCACAATAAGTCTACTTGGAAGTATTTATAATGGACATTCTTGAGCCTTAGTGGAACTTGGGGTCCTAAGGCAAGACAAATAAATACTTGTAGGAACTTATTTTTTCTTCAGGAGTGTTCTTGTTTGCTTCATGTATTCTCTTTATTTTCCAGGACTTTAGCAAGATTATCCAGGCTCAGTGATTTTTAACTTTCAGTCAAACCAGGCTGATACAAGAAGAATCTGAGAAGGGCTTTTGTTCCCATTCCTCCCCCTGGCTCTCAGCGCCTGCCTTCACAGTCCCTTCACCATGGTAACCAATAGAGAATCACAGCTCCTTCACCATGGGCAATGAATTGTAACCTGCTTGATTACTCTTTGCCCCATACTGAGTACTCAGTTGGATAGTGACATTTATTCCTGGATCCTGTGAGGACAGCCACTTTATTGGTTTAAGTAAAGTCCTCTTTGCATAGTACAGTAAGGTTCTAGTGCTTGGCTGAGATAAGCCTTACATAGCCAAGATCTGAAGTTCTCACAAAGGAATAGAACTTAAAGGCCAGTCATCTGAATGATGAACAACTTGTTTTGAAGTTTTGAGGACAAAACTTCCTATGGTGCCATTGAGGACACTATGCCAGTAGTGATCAGTGTTTTACTCAATCACTTAAGAATATTCAGATCAGGATCTTAATGTGGATCCTGGAAAATTCCAGCACCGATTTGATAAAGCTGATTATTATATAGTCTATTTCTCTTATATTGGGGAGAGATTATAAATATAATCTCTTATATTTATCTCTGAGGCCATCTGCTAAATACCGTGAAAAATAGGAGAGAGCAAGGAAAAATAGTTTATAACGATTTCAATAAAATGCTTAACATAATAGAAGGAGACCTGGATGAACATTTCCAGACATAATAGTTTATGGAAAAATTAAGTGTTTATGGAAAAAAACACCTAATAAATTCAGCAGAAATCTTGGTTATAGGAGAAAGGTATTAGGTGTAGAATAGCAAGCTACATTATGCCTATCTTTAGGAAAAGTTGAAATAAATGATTGGTCATTTCTTCCCCATCAACTAATAGAAAGTAACTAATAGTCACTGCATGAAACCTAATGTAAAATCATGATATTTCAGAACTTTGTCAAAGACCTCAGGGAGAAAGTAATAATTCTGTAGATTGGTAAAAAGATTTTTTTAAAAAATGAACAAAATAAATGTATCAAAAAAGCAAGTACTTCTTAGATATGATTGGGACTGCTTCAGGGCGTAAGATTGCTTTTCAGCCATTATAATCAGTAATGCTCTACTGTTTTGTCAATCTCCTACCAAATAGACTGGTTGCTTAGTTCTCAGCGAACTTTTAATGGAACATACAGAGATATTTTGGATTGTATGTGACAAAAAGTTAAAATTTCTGATAATATGCACTTTCAACTCTGATAACATGCACTTTCAACTTTCTTTTATTAGAATATTCTAGTCTGAATGTAGAGAATGATGCTATTCTGGCTGAGATGGAATTGTGTGCCTTGCCTACTTCTTTCGTTGGCTGTATATGTCACGTTGTTACAGTTGAACCAGAAAAAGGACAACAATAAACTGTAACTTCCATTTCATTAACTGCTGTGGAGATCAAATGAAGACTTGGCAAGGGAGTAAACATAAGAGAATGCCTTTCATCACTAAAAATGAAAACAATACTTAAATTAAACTAGCAAGCTAGGCTCTAGCAAGCTATTATTGGAAATGTAACCATTGAACTTTCAGTGTTCATGGTGCTGGGTATATAAGCAGGCTGGTCCTGCTGCCAAGAATTATCTCTGAAGAAGAAATTATATCTCTGTGAAGTAACTGAAGTAATGAAATAGTAAAGCAGGAAATAATGTAATTTGCAAATAGTAGCAGTATATTCTTTAGATAGATGGGTTTTTGTATGTAGCAGCATAGAGAGGCAGTTTGGTGTAGTGGTTAATGCATTAGATTAGAACTGGAAAATCTAATCTTCCTTTAGGCGCAGAAGTCAGCTGAATGACTTTGAGCCAGTCATCCTCCCTCAGCCCTAGAAAAAAGGTACTGGTAAAACACTTTCTGAAAATGTTGCCGTGAAAATTGTAGGGAAATGTCTGTGTTGTTATCAGGAGTCAGATGGCTTATTCATGGGTTGCAATGACAAGTATAGTGGTGTAGTATAATAGATATTTATTATAACTGTCTCTTCCTTAAGGATAATCATGTAATATACCAGGCACAGATTTATTTAGTTACAACAAATTGCTGTCTGTTCTGCTCTACCCATAGCAGTAAGACTGTTGCCCTTTTACTCAATAAAATATGCATTTTGGCCTGATTTCAAAAATATTTTTCTAGCGTATTATATGAAAGATGCCTTATTTTCAGTCCACCGATTTAAAAAAAATATTTGAAAGAAGAGACATGAAGTATAGGTGAGTGAATACTTGAGTGTTCCATAGGAAGACTTCATCATGAATTTCCTTGATGGAATAATTTGCTCATTATGTGAACAGAAGAAAACATTGAGAGTATTCATTTGCAAGAAAAAAAATTGGAGCAATGCTGCCAAATCATATGATCTTTTCTTCCTTCCTTAGCACTGAAAGAAATGCAAGCATTAGATAGAAGTTCCCCCTCTCCCGCCCCAAAAAAGGCCTAGTTTTTTATTTATAGATTCAGTATCTCTGAGTGATTACAAGCTGTTCTAATTTGCATGAAGGTTGCTCAATAAATATGACCGGCCAGTCCCTTTGAAATGATTATTGTCTATTGATAAAGCAGTTTCTGTGTTTTGGATCACTGCTTCTCACTTAACTGTATCAACAATTTGAGTTTCCTGCTGCCTGATTCATAACTACTTTTCTGTCCATTTCAAAATGTTAGCTGCTATTGGGAAGGGGAAAACCCATGGATCCTGGAAATTCTTCCAAATATATATGTCTCCTTCATATTACGCTATCATTCAGGGGAAAAGAATAAAACTTTTCAAAATCAACCAGCAAGAATACTTCCTCAGATTTCCCCCAGTAGATTACCTTTTATGATATTCAGCAAACATCCCAGAATTTCTCATGCCCCTATCCTGTTCAGTCAAGTGTGCTTTTAAAATATCAAAGAGACATTCAAAAGACAGCTGGGTGTCTATTCAAATGTTCATTATCCAGGTCCAGTTAGTTCTTCTGACAAGGTTGTTTTTCTGAAAATGCCAGTAGATTTGGGCGTTTTCTACATTTTCAGGATGAATAAGTAGAGATCTGCTTTTCCTGATCCTTAGAACTAGGCATCATATATCTTCACAGGTGACCAACTTGATACTAAAACACAGCTTACTGTATAAATCATTGTAGATGTTTATTTCTCTCCAATTGATGTTCTAATAACTTTAAATGCATTATCTGCAACCAAGGCATGATGCAAGGCATTCTTATGAGGTCTGTTATAATCTGTACTGAAAGAAGAAGTTGAAAAAGCTTGCTTTGCATGTTGACTTCTTGACTTTGCTTTCATGTTTGCTGCTGATGGATGCACCACCAGATCAGTTGCTTTTTACCTTGCCGTAGCTGCTTTGTTGCTTGGCTCTAAAATCTGTATCAGGGACTTCCATTTTACTGTTATCTTCTTTAGCTAATGTTGCCTTTATAAGCAATTGTACCTGCATGCCCATTTCTTGCTCTGTGGGGATGAGCAGCCTAATTCAAAACCTTATTACTTAGTTGACGGGCCATATTCCAAAGCTGAGCTCCTGATGCTGAGTGCTGAATGTATGTGTTTCCAGGGGCTCCCCTCCATATACCAGTTGATGATGGATCTGATGAACCAGGGTCTGAAGCTTCTGATGCTAAAAGTACCCCAACTGTGGAAGGTGGGAGCTCTTTGTCTCATTACTTTGAAATTTATAGCAGCCAGGTCTTGAATGTGTCTCTTAAAAGTGCATCAATACAGGCCCTCCTAGTAATAATTAAAGCTTTTAGTATTAAATGATTTTTCTTATAGCTTTAGTTATTGCTGTGACTGAAACTGCCGTACAAAAGTTTATTTGTGGTCTTGTTTGCGCCTTTCACAATTAAATTCAGAGTTGTTTTCAGCCTGATATTGTTTCTCCCCTATAGTGTCTTCTCAAGGATTTTAAATATTCACCTTCTTTTGAAAAAGTTAATGTAGGAATTGGCATAGTTTGGTTTCAGAATAACATTAAAAGAAATATTTCATTTATAGGGACATTCTTTCCAGCCCATGGACAAAAAGGTAACGGGTTAGTTAGGGTTAGGATTAGGTCAATTTAGGCTCTATCTATAAACCGAAGTCATTACTATATTTAAATTGATTTTATACCATGGATACCCTACCGACCCATATTACAAACCCACCAAATTACTCTAGAGCTTTACAGATAAGTTAAACTACTTTGCTATGTTACATTGAAAATGAAACAAGCAACTCCCCATCTTTTTATCTGAAAGAATATTTTCCTATATGATGACACAGATGTGATTGCTAAAATTATGCTGTCTCAAATGGAATTACAGTTACAAAATTAGCCGTGCAGAAAACCATTATTTTTATTTTGTAATTGTGCCATCTTTGTCATCTAGCATTTGTTTGTTTGTTTAAATCAATACATGTAAAAGTTCATGCTTCAGTGAAGTTACTATGCTCTAGAAACCTGTTGCTCTTAATTTAAATCGAGCACTGTTGCTGTATGAAGTGACTTCAGTTTTCAAGCATTGGGAATTAATCAGTTAAAGGGCAAACAAATCCTACTTTCAAGTGCTCTGTGGTATCCTGATTTGTGAGCAGCAAAGACAAGATTGCAGAAAAGAACACAGACAAGCGAACTTGAAGAACTAAAGTATAGGCAGTAGGCATGTCCTTATTAATTTAATTAAATGTTTGCTTCACTAATGCATAAATGATGATTAAAGTTTTTTATTCAGTATTTTTTTTGTTTTTCATCTTTTGGGCTGGAAGTGCACTTGAGTGTTAAAACCATTTTACATCTGTAAATGTTCCGTTGCATCTTTATTTTGGTAACACTGTTTCTATGAAATCTGGCAAGTGGAATCTTCTAAAAATCACTTCTTGAAGCATCACACTGAATCTGTAAGGTAAGCAGTTCTCTAAATGTTCCTCTGTGGGCTACTAAATATAATAATTATTTTTGGGTGAAAAATGCCAAGAGAGTGAACATTATAGAAAATAGAAACATATATACTCAAGCTACTTCAAACAGAAATATTTATGGACAACAGGCATTTTAATTCCTGGTATTGGAGGCATTAGGTAAAATCTGTAGAAAGAAAGAACCCTTAAGAAGAAAAATGATGGATCTATGTACCAGTACTCGGAACAGTCTAAAATTGATGGCATGATTCCTGTTTATTGTGCTGTTCATTGCGCTGTTGTATGCTTCTCATACATAAGCATATCGGATAGAAAGTCAGACAGTATTATTGTAGCTCCTTGTGTTACCTTTGTTTCTCTCTTTGACCATCTTGTCTGTGTTCTTGTCTATGGCAATTAAAAAAATTATGTTGGGAGAAAATGACAAACACTTAATAGGCTTTTTCCAAAACTTATTTTTTAAAATTTATATTATTTCTTAACTTCTTAGGATAACCGACCTTGCTATTGCTTGGGGAGAGATCTGATATTTTGTTATTAGAACTAGCTTGATGATGGTGCAATGGTTTGAGTAAGATCTCTACATTTTAGTTTTAAATTTCTTCCAAAATCTGAACTTGATCTTGTTTTGATTTTATATTCACCAAGTTTAAAATTGTGTTAACTTACTGTCTGCTTCTCCAGCTTGGGAAATGATTGCTTTTATATTACCTGGGAAACGATGGGTTTTTTTGGTAATTACAGCCTTTTATAGCAGAATAGTCTTCAGTTTTCTTAATGTAAGCAATCTGCAAAAGTTCGACTTGCAGAACTTTTACTTGAAAGTTGCTTCCTCTTGGTATGTGTTATAGATATTACAGCTCCATTAGTAGAGGACAGAGCATATGAGGATCGAAATTCAGCTCATGAGCATGCAGAAATGATTGAAGGAACCACAGGTGAGGCAAGTGAAGGTCGATCAAATGTGACTTGGAGCCAAGCCTCTCCCTGCTTAGCTTTATGATATTGGTAATTTTGAAGGGCACAGACACCTGTACATTGCAGCTTTCTTGACAATGTGCTATAAGAGAGTTTGGGATTGAAGGCAGGGGAACAAAAGCAATAACTTCTACATAATTTCTTGGTTCCACACTTATTATAACACATTTCAGGATTCCATAAGTAATGATAGGTTGAGGCCCTCACTGATGAATTTAGTTTTCTAGTAAGGGAAGTATTATTCTTCATGCTCTTTGTGCAAACACACCTATAAGGCGAGACTGGATATACCCCATTCACCCACCTGCTCATCCCCAGTCTCAGAGATAAAATTAAATATTTAATGCTTTTCTAAAGGCCAATAGGACTGGCACAAATTTAATCTATGGGAGAATGATATTCCAAAGTTTGGACACCATGACAGAAAAGGCTCTTATGCAAGGATGGGGAATCCATAGCCTTCTTCATATTGCTGAATTAAAACTTCATGTTAGCATGCTGGCTGTGGTAACTGGGAACAATAGCTACTTTCATAGAAACACACTGGTTGTAATTTGTGTATTAATAAGCCATATAGGAAGAGATTTCTAGCTAAATCTTCACACAAACTACATGCCCACTGAGACCCTTTCTCTCCTTCCTGTATTCAGTTTTTCTAATATCCTTAAACACATATCTTTTATGCCCTCTATGAAAAAGAGTTCAAACTTTGCATTTATCCTAGATATGTGGTCTTCCTCATCTCTTCGTCTTTTCATTTTTGTATATAAAAAAAAAAATCCTGAAAAGAATTGTTTCTCTCTCACGAATGAAGTCAAGTTTTTTCCTCTCACCTGAACAATTATTTTGCAAGTTGTGACTTTTGTGATCAACTTCAATTTGGATTTCAAACTAGTCATTCCACGAATAGCTTCAGTGTGGAATAGTATTCTGGTGGACAGAGCATACCACTTGTCATCTGTGCTAATGCTGCTAGATTTACTGGCTACAGTTGATATCCTTGAGCATCCTTTAGACTCTGTGTGTCACTTATACAATTCTTCATAGAATAACAGAGTTGGAAGGGATCTTGGTCACCTTAGTTCTTCTCATTCTGTTTTGTTTCTTCATTGTTGAGCTGGTGCAGCCTCACAAATCTTCTCATTGGTCTCTTTGGCATTTTGTTGTTCTTCCTTTTTGAACAAATTTGAATCAGAACTAGAACAAAAGCATTGGAGTCTTGGAGTCTTTCCTGTTCAAGCAGAAGACTGCCATTCTAGACAAGTGGCTTTCTAGTCTCTTCTTAAAAGCCTCTAGTGATGGAGCGCCCATAACTTCTGAAGGCAATCTGTTTCACTGGTTAATTGTTCTCACTTCCCACTGCTAGGAATTTTCTTTTTAGTTTCTAAGTTGCTTCTCTCCTTGATTAGTTCCATCCATTGTTTCTTGACTTGCTTTTTGGTGATTCGGAAATTTTGAAGGTGAGGGCTTTTAAGACATAATCCCACAGCTTGGAAAGGGCTCTCTCTTATTCTTCAGATGACAGATGATTTTAAAATCTTTAAATATGAGCTCAAATGTTGTTTGATTCTGAGAAATAGGGCTGCTCCTCTGTGAACTTGTGATTTCTAGTCTGGTCTGATGACGCAATGGCTTAGTTTTATATTGTACTTGCTTAATTTTAATTGGTTAATAGTTATATATTGCTAGTAGGTTTTACAGGATCTAGTTATTCTTTTTATTGTAAAGTAATTATCTATTTAGTATTTCACTATTCTTTTAGAGGTGCCTAGGTTTATAACTCAACTACTCTATAGTTTGGTAATTTCTAATTTAATTTATACTGTTTCTGTTTTGTGCTAAATTTTTAATCCCATTATTATCTGTTGCCAAAATGCCTCATTTTATATATTGCCTATATATAAAATCTAAATTTGCCAATAAGATTATCTAGATAATCTACCAGAAACTCTACCTTACACTGAAATCTTAACTTAAATCATAAATTGAAAGCTACAGGCCATGAATAGTTTTCCTAAGATCTTAAATATCTAGTTGAAGCAAAAGCCCCTACATATTACCCAGTTTATTTTCTACCAGCGTACTATTTTTGTTATCTGCTACTCCATCAAATAAAAGGCTGTTCACTGGTGTCTTCATTGTGAAAGATGAAGGCTCCCGGCTATAGTATCCTGGTAGCTATCTTCATTTTTCCTGTGTGATTTTTATCTTGAATTAATAATTCTACTTTCAAATCCACATGCAGTTGAGATTCTGTAGATTAGATCATCTGCTGTTAGTTGAAAGAGAAGTTGCCAGCTACATTTCCCTTCTCATTAGATCCTGTTTCTGCACTGTGCTATGAAGGTAAAATGCTTATGATTTACCACTTATTCTGTCTTTATAGTTGGAATCATTGGTGCAATGGTATAGTTCCTGTCTTTCTGAATATCTAAATACGAATGGTGAGATTCTCAACAATAAATTCTGCTACAGTTGCTCTATTATCTACTAATTTACTGTGAGAAACAGGATTAGCACAAACAGTTCTATGATTTGTTCTTCCAATTCTTTAAGGAGAATCTGATAGAGTCTCTTCCTCATGCAATGCCCCTGTGTTATAGATGGACTACAATATGACATTTGTCTTTTGTGCATCAATTTCCTTGTATTCCGTTAAACTACAACAAAAAGGCATTCTTTAAATAGCCCGTAGATAATGTTAAAGCACTAGAAAAGAATAATGTAATCTAAAAAGTCTAAGAAAGAGAGAAATACAGAACTTAACTATTTTTTGATCTATATAATATGTAATTATACAAGTAAAGTGGGATCTGTAGAACATTAATATTAATATACAGCTGTCACATCTGAAAGGTAGGTGGATTTTGTGTCTGTTTCATTCAGAACAATTGTCAACAGCAGGTTCTGTACTGGAAATGTTAAATATTCAAATGCTTAATAGCAAATGAAGATAACGCTGTCAAAGCCATAAATATGCTTCTAACCTCTTCATTACTTAGGAGACATCTGGTAATTCCTGATGCAGAACCCAATCAAGAGATACATTTCTATTACCTTCTCTTCCTTGGTTTCCATTTTATAAACCTAAATAATTTATATATTATATAAATTATATATTTATAATTTATATATCTTTTATATATTAGTGTTACTTTGTTTGACTAGTGTAATGGGGGTTCCCTTTGAGTAATTGAAGATTTTCATTTTAAAAAAAGACTGCATTATTGTTAGCACTTTTCTCAGGTCAAAATACTGAGAACATGGATCCTGTGGTATAATCATCTTAATTAGTCTTTACAGGGGCAAAGTGAAGTACCTTATATCCCCAACTTTTCATTAAACAAATAGTAGTTTGAACATTTGAATCATGACTTGAATCTTTTTCTTTATCTTGTTATCAAGGGTAAAGAAAATTTAAAGAGCTCTAGGTGGGGTTTTTTTTTTTGCATGATGTCTTTTTAAACTTTGTACATCTTTTTTTATCCTATTGGGAGAACTTTTTTCTTCAATAATTTTTCAAATGAAAAATTGAAAATTGAAAAAATGAAAATGAAAAATTATTTGGATTAGACTAGAAATTTGTGGGACTTATTAGTCAACACTAACTTATATCCCACTGGTCCTAATAAATTTAAATATAAACCAGCCAAGTTCTGTTTATTCTTATCTAGTGTGCATTACTAAATGCAAGAATCAAGCATTAACCCATTTTTTTCTTATAGAAAAAATTCCAGCATATTTTTTGATCTTTTGATTTTTTTGTATCCATCTTCCTTTATAGGTCAGTGTGATAACCTCCTAGTTGAATTAAGGATATTATATGAGAAAAGGCATGTTACTTATTTGTATTTTTCTTCAAAATAATCTGTTTAGTCAAACCATCCTATTGCAGGGCTTGATAGGAATTTGTAAGTTAAACTGAACAGAATAATACTGCTCTGCCCTTAACAAGTGGATGAAGTACTAGTTTTCTACTGGTTCAAAGGTTTTTGCTTTAGATAGGTGCAAAATCCATTAGATAAATTTAACCTTAACCTTAAAAAGTTAGATGTTTGAATGTAGATAATTGATTTGTTACCACGATTGAGTCCAAAATCTCTGTTGCTAAGTGAGACAGTTAAGTGAATTTTATCCCATTTTATGACCTTATTTGCCACTGTTATTAAGTGAACCACTGCATTTGTAAATCTAATTTCCATATTGATTTTGCTTGTCAGAAGGTTGCAAAAGGTGATTACATAAGCTGGGGACACTGCAGCCATCATATTAACCAGTTGCCAGTGTCTTTGATCACATGACAAAGAGGATGTTGCAACAGTCATAAAGAGATTTTTTTCAATGTTCTTGTAAATTTGAACAATCATTTAAACAAAGTTGAGGACTATCTGTAATATATTTTCCCATTTACATTTTTATGCATTTCCTATTGATACATACGGATATGAAATCTCTTAGAAGCTAGAGTATCCTTTGTCAGATACTTTGGGGCAAAACATCTTTCGGTATTTACATTTATGGTACCTTCCAGTTAAACGTATTTTTTACATGAGAAGTGTAACTTTTCTTTTCTTTTCTTTTCTTTTCTTTTCTTTTCTTTTCTTTTCTTTTCTTTTCTTTTCTTTTCTTTTCTTTTTCCTTCCTTCCTTCCTTCCTTCCTTCCTTCCTTCCTTCCTTCCTTCCTTCCTCTCTCTCTCTCTCTTCTGTCTTTCTCTTGTACTTTCCCAACCAGGTTTTTTTGGGGGAGGGGGGATATTCTGATAATCAAAGAAATCATGATCAATTATTAGATAACCTTTTTTTTTAGCAAATGCATGCTTTGTCTGGTAACATTCATGAAAAACTATTAGAAACAGTCCTAGTAAAAATGAAAGAACAAGGCTCTGGGTGGTTTTATAAGAGAAATCTGGAAGCAATCTACACCCTTTCTCCTTTATTTATTTTAAATAAATACCATTTTCACTTTAATACCACCCCTTCCCCCTACATATTTTATTGCTTCTTCCATCAAGGGGAGAAAAAAATCTTCCAGATGTTGACTGATAAGAAATGGAAGCATTTTGAAATAGTTTACATTTATAATAATATTGTAAGAAACAGTCTCTGGGATTCAGTGTTTAAAGATATGCTTCCATGGGAACAAACCTTTGCTACCTCATACTTTTCATTTGTGACTTCAAGAAGTGATGTTTCAAGAAAATTATCACCAGGAATATATTCCACTAAAACTCCTTTGGAAAGAGCAAGTTCACAGTACTACTGATGTTTAAAGTTGGGGAGTTGCATGGCAAGAGGCCCCCAAAAAGGATTTAACCTTTGTACTGCAACTTGTACTGCTGCCCGAATGAGAATCTTACAGTCAGAAATAAAATGGAGCAGTGTTACTCAACATTAGCAACTTTTAGATATATAGATTTCCAGTTCCCAAAATTTTACCCAGCCAGCTTTGACAATATTATATAATTATATATTATAGAATAATTATATAGAGTATTATGTTTCATTATATGTATTGCCTACATATCTTATTCAAAATATATTGACAGTTCCTAATCATGCCCTCTGAAATTCCATGAATATCTGCATCAAGGCTCTCCAAATTTTAGCAATCAAGGGAAAAGTTAATTTTCTTTTTAAAACTTTCAATTAACCCAGCTGAAGATAAGCACAGCTAAACTATGTTGACCCAATTGCAGATGAACATGACTATGTTATATTGTTCCATGTCTGTATAAAATACACAAAATGTCTTAGTTAAAAAAAATCTGTCAAAACAAGTTTGCATCTTCCAAAAAGCCTATTAGGTGTTTATATAATTGTTTTCATTTCGTTTCATCATATTTAATTACCATATTTAATTACCAAATAATTGTGTATTGTTAAATGTTCAGATTAGTATCTTTTTAGTTAAATGTTTTCTGTAAGCCCTGTCAGGTTTTATTATATTTTTCTTCAGGTGGGTATGTATATCATTGATGAATAGGATTCAGGAATTGGTGTGATTTCAGCGGAAATGTTCTCATCAGTTTATTTCATTTTCATTTAAATGTACTGCCATGCATTTTCAAATATTCACATATCATTTGAAAATACAGAAACATTTGTCTTGTTCTATTTTTAATGTTGAAACCATTTCCCCATCTTTAATTTGGAAAATTTAGCTGAGGAAGCAGGCATAGTTTGTACTCCTAACCATGAAGACCATGCTTCGGGGGATGCTCAAGGTAAGCATAGTAAAGTTTATTTCCTATATATCTAAAAAGTGCTTTGACCCGAGGAAATTGCTGATCTAGATTACACTATGTATTGGCTTAATGACGCATGGGGCATGAGAAGTAGAAAATTGATCAATAAATGTAAACAGTAAGTGCAACAAAATATTAAAATGACAGTAAGGTAAAGGTTCCCCTTGCCGTGCTAGTCATTTCCGGCTCTAAGGGGTGGTGCTCATCTCCGTTACAAAGCTGAAGAGCCAGCGCTGTCCAAAAACGTCTCTGTGGTCATGTGGTCAGCATGACTAAATGCCGAAGGCGCACAGAATACTGTTATCTTCCCACCAAAGTGGTCCCTATTTGTCTACTTGCATTTTTACGTGCTTTCGAACTGCTAGGTTGCTTTCTAATTGACAAGCTCAGCATCTTAGCCACTGAGTCACCATGTCCTAATAAAATGACAGTATAAACCTGTATTATGAACGGCATAGCTTCTGCCATTTATTATTTCAACTTACCCGTCCAAATTCTTGGCCAGTTAGAGATCCATTTGAACTTTGTGTTCCCTAATTGATAGGTTTTATTTTCAGTTTGGTTTTGTGGGATGAATTGCTTTTTGTGAAGAACAAGATCTAAACTAAAAATAATGTCTACAAAATGTGCTTGCTTCTTTGTTTTACTAACTGCAGTATATGTCTGAACCTGGACAGATTATTAAGTTTTAGCTGTGGTTAATTGAAACTGTTTACATCATGCTTAAACATTTGAGTTATTTTATCAGAATTTAATTGACCTAACCTGGTATAGCAGGACTATATTAAACATTGCTCAAGTGAAATTGGAAAGAAAAGCATTACCCTTTTGCTCACAATCACAGTAGGGAAGAAGAAAAAAAACATACACCTGACATAGTGACAAGCCACAGTTGATCATTACAATTGAATTAGTCCATTGTATCTAGCCCTTGCTGTTGGTGCAAAATTCTTAGAATTTTGGCTACCCATCTTGAAAATGATTGCAGACAACATGAAGGAAAATAGTAGGTGATCATTTAGATCACATTATCTGAAGCTGTGAATCATGTCATAAAATAAATAAAAAGTAAACTATGCTTCATAGAAATGAAGTGCTAAATGCCATAATAGATTAATAATTATAGCTATTAACAATAAATATTTCCAATAGCTAGAAAATAATCCTGCTTCATTAGTGCTACCAACTTTGACTAGTTTATTGTTTTAAAAAAAGAATAAAGATACCTCATATATCAAATAAAGAGGTGCTTTATGGGCATATTCAAAATGTATCGTTTCAAAATAATTGTAATAGTTTTGATTTTGTGAAAATGAAAATAAATGTATTAAGACAATTGTATTAAGATAGATACCTTGACTTGTGTTTTACATCCTACCTTATATTTGAAATAGTTCAAATTAATAAGTTCTTAGAACTTTTTTAGGCTCAACAAATTACCTTTTAATTAAAGACATGTTGGTTATAGTAAATAATACTATAGCACTTAGTTTTTCTTCATGAAACAATCATTTCTCCAAGTTTGTAAGTGATTGTAAATACTTCTGTATATATGTTAAATGCAATAATATATTCCTATCTCCTTGTCATGATAATGCCTGGGGTTAGTATGTTATTAGTTGGAGTGGAAATAATTTATGATAATGATGTCAATGAGATAAAAATCGGGATATTCCATCCCACACTCAATCTTATTTAGGAACCAGCTTACATTCCAGACATTTCTTGAAGATTTTTCTTTTAGGTTGACCCATGGTCTAGAGTCTAGACTATTAGGAGATAAAAATATTGCCTGGAAAGAAAAATCAAAAGAGAAAGATGGTATAAAGCTGTCATACATGGCCTCAGTGCCATTGACTGAAGAAAAATAGATGGAGTTGTGCATCCTCAGGCCAGACAAAGTCTGTCAAGAATTGATAAATATAAACCAATCTCCCTGCCCTCCAGTGACCAAAAATGACATAGAACTTGAATCAGCAATTTATCCAGTTTTTGATCAAGGTTAGGGGGTTTGAAACAGCTGTGTTGTTATGCTGTTTGAGGTCTTGCTCCACAAAGAGAAAGCCAGAAAGATATACAGAAGCAGTAAATGGATGCAGATAATAAAAGTCCAAACCCATCCAAGGATTTAAACAGTGAAGAAAAGAAAACAAGGCTTAGGATTTGTGCAACAAAGAGTTGGAACACAAAGAGTTGGAATCAACAAGAGTTGGTTCCAGAAGACAAACTAGCCAGTTGTACAGGTTCATGGATGATAAAAATTGCATTCAGCTATGAGCCACCGTGCCCTCAAGTTGATCTTCCACAATCTGAGCTCTTTGAATTTTCTAGCCAGAATACACATTGCTCAGAATTCTGTGCTAATGGGAAAGGACTCAGTTGGAATAAGGGTATACTAGAGGCTGTGCATGTACTTGTTTTGTTCTTTTTGTCTACTTGCAAAGTCATTAAATCATGTAGGACTTGAGTAAACTTTCATCTCAGGGTGTCTCTACTAGAAGCTAATACCCCTCTCTACTTTCTGATATTCAATGCCTGGACTATTCTCTTGAGGAGGGGATTGTGTTAAATCTACAGCAGAATTCTTAGCCCATTGTCATTGACAATGATAAGAAAAGATAAGTAAGGATAAAAATAATCTTGTTTGGACTCTGCTGCACCTGAAAACAGTATTTTAAAAAAATTTGGGAAGCCCAGAAAAGATGTTCGTTAGCAGTAGATCAGAATGCTTATAGGACAGACAGAAATGTCCACTCTAATTTTTTAGGCATTAAAGTTTCTCAGAAATTTATCATTCAGAAACTTCAGCTGGTGCAGAATGTGGCTGCATAAGTAGTAAATGATGGCAGATATATGGCATAGGTAACAACGCTTTTGCGTGAGTTGCATTGGCTATCAGTGTTTCCAGATACAATTCAAGATGTTGGTAATTATCTTTAAAGCCCTACATGGTTTGGGATCAGGGTACCTGAGGGATCACCTTTTCCCAAGAGTCTCTACTTCTCCAACCAGATCTAGCCAAATGGGCATGGTGTAGATCCCGTCAGCAACAGAGTTTTGGCTGGTGCAGTGGCTTCTGCTCTATGGAACATCCTCCCTTCAGAGATTATTAGAATGGCCCCAATCCCGTTAGCCTTTCGTAGGGCCCTAAAAACCTGGCTATGTTCTCAAGTCTGAGACACTGGATGTGCTAAGGGCTTCGTTTCCTGATTGTATTGTATTGTTTCCTGAGTGTAGGCCAAGCACCTTGGATACTGTGTATATTGTTCTATTCTTTCAAAATGTTTTTAGTATTTTGATTGTAATATATATATATATATTGAATTGTAAAGCACCCAGGCTGAGATATGTGGATATAGAAATTGAATGAATGAATGAAATTTGCAGTCATCCCATAAATTGGGCTGTTAAGGGCGAAGGCTTCTGCTTTCCAATACAACACTACTAATATTAATAGTTATAATATAATTCTGTGCCAATGCAGTTATAGAGCCTTTTCACATCTTCCAACAGATCTTTGTTTGATTTCTCTCTGCCCATCAAAGGTATATAGGGAAAAATATGAGAGCAAAAATTGCTGCATTTTTGAGAAGGGACTAAGCAGGAAATGACGTATGAAAAGCCTTAAGATGAGATAGGGTAAAATGCCTGCTTTTATTTTAGTGCTGGCAGATGTTTTTCAGATGTATAAGCACAAAACTAATTCTATAACCATTAAAATTACCTTATACAGGTAAGCAAAACTACGTTTTATACAATGGACAGCTATAATTCTGCTTGTGTTTTATACAATGGACAGCTATGTTCCCTTGGCCCAATATGGCTTCTTGTAAGTCCTATTTGTTTTAGCCATAAAGTCTACTCTGTCCCCACTAAATCCTACTTAATTGTTTTTGGATTGTTTGGGTTTTTTTCTCATTTTGAGCCAAGCATAAAACAGGTATTCTTAAAAGTGACATCTGACCATTTTTGTAAAATGTGCTCTCCAACCCCCTGGACAACTATTTATTTCATACAGTTGTAGACTGTAAATTGAGCTACTAGATCTCAAACTAACTGTAATAACAGTATACAGAAAATGTTTAGTTTTTAAGAAAGTGCTATTTAGTTGTAAGGTGTATACTGATTTAATTGGGTGAGCATGGTTTTTCTTCTTCCCAATTTATTAATTTTTCTAAAGAATTGAGAATCTAGTCAAATAATACCATCTCTATTATTGTTAGGAAGTATTGAATTAAAAGTTTGGACTTGGACTGGTATTTTACAGATGTTAAATCTTAAGCAACAATTAATTACAACAATTAAAACTGAATAAAGTGTAGACAGAAATTCCATTCCTTAATATTGAACTGTAAAATATCCTAAAACTTTACATTAATATTATAAATCTATTATTTTATATTATAAAATATTGTCTACCAGGGCAGTTTTGCAAATGCATTATTTTGGATTTACCTTCACTATATTATAATGCATATAATGCAAACAGCTAATGAATCTTCTTTGCTACAGTGATAGAATTAAATATGTGTACTATTCTCATCCACAAAATATAATTTGGTAAATTAAAACTGAATTAAATTATTCCTTCTGTAAACAGCAGTGGGGTCATTTTCTAAGCTTGGTTCAGTTGCATAAAAAACATATTGAATTACAAATGGTCTAAAAATAATCAGACTCAAGTGGGATTGGCTTAAACATTGTGAAATCTTTAGATGTAAAACTGCTGGCTGGATTAGATGAGTGAACCACAAAAACTAATATTTTATTTCCTAAGATCCAGCCAATTCCTTGAACCAAGCTACAGCATGAAGGCAATAGCCCTTTTCTAAGTATTGCTGCCCTATTAAATGCTTTTTATCATAAGCTTCAAACTGGCCCAGGGAAAGCAACACTCCTTTTATTTCATTGGAAATAATTATGCTTGTGAAACCTCATGATCTCTTCCTCCCCAAACCTCCTTTATTAAAAAACACAATTGTATGCTTCTGAAGTTGCAGAGGAGGACTTGTGTTTTTTAATACAGAGAAGACAGACTATCTTCTATAATATAAAAAGGAACACCTTCAAACTGTTTTGCTCTCTTTTCAAGGAGCTACATGCAGATAGAATATTATATTCTTAGTCCATTTGTATTCAAAAACCACAAGACACGGATAGGCTTCTCCATTGCTCCAGTCATTAAAGACACAAAGTGATCTTGCCAGTTCTTGACATCACTTTGCAAACAGAGCTTCGCACAAAAACATTGGAGGAGCTGCCAAAAATGGTTTCAGTTGGTTGGGAACACATAGCATTTTGTGTTCCCAATACAGCTGGCTTGATTTTTGCTATTCTCCCCCCCCCCCCACCCCAAGTATTTAATGTGAGACAAAGCATGCTTGCTGTTTGCATTAAAAGGAGAAAAGAAGAAATGTATGTGATAGTTGCCCAAATAGTTTGTCATATTCCAAATCTATTTTAGAATTGATTGCTTCATTTATCTATTCCAGAAAGCATACTAAGTATAGGGCTTTCCCCACTTTTATTTCAGCTCACATTGACAGCAGAGATAAAAATGAAATTGGGATTGAAGAGACAAAACCAAAGGTAAGTTGACAAGTGGATTATCGTAGTCATACTTTTTCCTCTTTTGTTCTTCTGTCTTGGAAATATTTTTCTTCTGGGAGCAGGCTATTTTCTATTTGATGACAGAAAAAAAACCTTCAAAGGTTATTTCAGTATCTGACTATCCAGAAAGTTGTTTTGAAATCTGGACACTTTCCCCAGTTCTAGTATTAACTCATCTGAGTTCCCCTCTCTCCCCCTTTGAAAAGAAGTAATCTATGACAAGAATCTCTTAAGAACAAATTGTTTTCCTATGCATCAAAATTGCCATTTTTTATTCTCTAAGCAACAAAGAGCTACTTTAGTATAACTTACCACAGTAATTAATATAGATGGGGATAGAGCAAGCTGGACAGGATATAATAGAGGATATTGTACAGCTTTATGCTATACAGCTGATTTCATGGCTTGTCTTGTGATTAAATTTTGCAAAGTAGTTTTTAACTAGTACAATTAGGAATAAAAGAATCTGCTTATGTAGTGCTCAAAAGGAGGACAGGTATTATAGACATGCATAGTAGCCCAGGCAAGAACCATGACTGGAAGAGCTGAAGGCTTATATCAGCTGAATTATCAAAGGCTTGTTCTTTCAAATTATGTAGTTCTAAAATGTTCCTATTAAAATTAGTTTTCCTCTTAACTATCAAACATTTGCCGATCATGTGATTACTAGAATGAACCCAGTCATAATAGGAAACTCTGATTGTATATTTCAGCAATAATATTGCAATGATTTCCCCAAAAAAAGTTTTCTGAAATTAGCTAAGTACAAAAGGAAAAACATTCAGACACATTATATGGGCCACATTAATAAATGTAAAAACAAAAACAAAACTGGTTGTTCATTGGTTTGTTGTGGAATGGAGAGAAGTACATTTCGCTTATAATTGTGCAACTTTATAAAGATAATTAACAGCGTGGTGATAATAGGACATTTGAAAATTTCTCTACTGTCATTTGCAAATACTTGCAGATCTTGAGATGTTCATTGTTAAAGTGAGATGTTCCTTAAATATGGGTAAGGGGCTGGGATATGCCTTTGTTATATTTTTGCAGTCAGGGGAAATAATAGTTTCATTTAACTCTTACTTTGATTCCAGCATGATTAACTTAGCGGTCATTCTTATTTTACTTTAACCAACTTTTTTTAAGTTTATTGCTTTTTTTTTGCTCTTTTCCATGCTAACCCTTGGTTTAATTTTATTTGTTTTAAAGACATCTATACCTTCCTCTGTCAAAATCCCACAAGGTAGATCTTCCATTACCCCCAAACGCAATTCCTCTATTAGTTCTATCCCTTTGAAAAAACCCTCCAATCCTTCCAAGTCCTCATCATCTACCCCTAAATGCACCTCTTCTATCGCATCCCGATCAACCAGTACAGGAATAAAAGGAAAAAACAGCAAGGTAAGGAATTACTTAAAAAGAAAAGCAGGGGAGAAGGGTGGGAACATTATTTTATTCCTATTTGAATTTGGCCACTTGGTTTATACACTTAAGTTCAGTGTAATTTAGCGGAGATTATTTTTCACTCTAGATTATGTCACATTATGGTTACTCATTTAGTCTCTTGCTAATGCAAACTCTCTGCCATCTGAGTGACTAGGCTATCACTGACCATGGACTCTTTGTAACTTAATTTAGAAATACTTTCTTGACATAGTTAAATAATGCCTTTAATTCATTTGAAGCCAAGGATGCTGTTGTTTAGTAACTGCCAGTTATGCTCTTCAGTGGGAATTTGCTATTGGAGCAAATTTGCAGTTACCAAACTTCCCAATAAGGATGGAAAATGAAAAAAGGCTGGTATCAGATCTTTTTGTAACTAGCTTCTTTGTTTTTTTTTACAAAATTTAATTTGATGTTGCTGAGGTTTTTCAAAAGTAGAGAAAATAATGTCACCCTCAACTATGGAGAGCCAATAGTTACATTAACATCTGTTTTTAGGGTTCAGATTTCAGTGTTGCAGGAGGAAAAAAAAAGCCCATGGAATTAATGTAGAGAATTAGTTCCTGAATGGATATAGTGCAGCCTGTTAGACCTCATCAAATTGATTTGATTTAGGTACATTTGATTCACTATAAGAACAATTAGTGATTTCTCTCACAAGATTATTCTTAATTAAAGAAGAAAATATTTTGTACTCAAAAAGCATAAAATGCAAATGAAGTATCATAGTAAGTACCTATAACATAAGATTTAAGTGCAATTTTATTTATTTAGGAGAACCTGGATTGAAAATCACATAAAGATAGGAGGCATTTTAGCAATTTTTTATTCTTTTTTTAAACTTCACTAGCAGTATAGTAACCCTTCCCTTTCTTAATGTATCTTCAGGGTCCAGATATGAAAAGTGCATCGAAGATAGCAACTCCACGCTCTGCTGCGGCCCAGAATCAGAAGAGCCCAGCCAGTGCATCTCGAATCCCTTCCAAAACTCCCACTGTTCCTAAAACACCACCAAGCCTCAGTAAGAGAAGAAATTTATGTGTTCATTTTGTTACACATAGAGAAAAAAGAAAAACAAAGACTCTTTGGCTTATTGGAATCATTTTAATATGTAAATAAATAAAATTAATTTTACGGTGGTTTCTCGGGAAAATATACATTCTTCAGGACATCCTTAGCAATTCATGTGACTGAGAATATGGTGTTGAAATGACCTTAAAAATGGGAGGTTATTCTGGAAAGGGTTAAAGGTACCACAGTTGAATCAATATTATAAGGGACTTCCTCATGGCCTGTGTCATTCCCCTCACCCAACACTCGGAGGTTTCGTACATCCTGCACTCAACCTGACTGCACCCATTGCAGGAATAATCAGAACTGACCTATACTCCTTCCAACCAACCTACCAAATAGTGAAGTGTAGAAATTAGCCCTTGCTTAAATAAGCCTAGCAGCATTTGTTCACAGCAAGGAAAGAAATCACTCTCAAACAGTAAATACAGATGATAATTATGGGCAAAAATTTCCATAAGTCTTTGGTCGAATTGTCACATGGAAACCACTTCAATGACAACGGTTTCTTTATATATTTATATCATGACAAGTAAGATGTTTCTAAACCAAACTTACGTTTTGCGGTCTCAGACACTGAATGTTAAGGTCTATCTGTAGTAGATTTGTGCTTTCCCATTTAAGAAGGAAAAGACAAATTGTTGCATGATCAGAAATGCTAGATGATATCTCTATAGAATCATATGTATCCTTTTATTTCCACAATCAGAATAAATTTGTCAAAAATATTTTTTTGAGAGAAATCCTGAAAAAAGAATATAGCTGCTTTAGGGAGATGAGGACAGGTTCTATATTAGTGCCCTTATGTGCACCAATGCATCATTTTGCCCTTGAAACTGAAATGCTGCACAGCCCTAATAGGTAATGAAGCTCAGTAATCATAAGATTTCTCTCAATATAATGCAATCTACAGATTTTAGTGACTGTAGTGTTTGGCAATCACTTTATTATTTTCACTTATTTCAGTGCTGAGAATTATTCCAGTAATTTGTAGTAATTATTCTAATGTATCGTTAGGATCTGAAAAGACACTAAAAGTCATGGTTCAGTGAAGGAATATTTTTGTTCTTTCAGCTGCTAAGAAGGAGCAGAGAAGGCCCCCTAGCACAGCAGCAAAATCTGAGAGAGGTAAAAATATATATGTATTAGTTCCTTCTTTATTCCTAAAGAATCCTAAGGTACTTTTCAGGCATTGATCTATGTTGATTCTGAATATTGATACTAGTATTACAGTTGGTGTATGAGACATTATCATGGAGTGTGTTTAACTTTTCAGTTGGAAAGACAAGAGGAATCAATGTGAAGACAGTGTAAATATATTTTGTAGAAGCATAGACACTTGGGCAAGATAATAATATTGTTTAAATATATAAATTAAGTTGGCTGATATAACATCATTGGTGAATACTAGTTCAGCTGGCATTTCCCTCCAATTAAAATAGGGAATATTATCATCACACTTAGAAAAGGAGTACAGATGGAGCCCCAGGGTCATCTGCCCAGTGCAAATAACAGGAAAAGAGCATACTGTTGGATCTGAGTGTGTGGATGGGTGCATATAGAAAGAGACAGGCCATAAGGTACCCTGGCTTAATCTGGATTCCATTTTCAGTTTTTACAAACTAAATTGATGTCAATATGCATACTTCATATAATAAGCCACAGTTAGTCCCCTGGCAACTGGATTTCAAATAACAGTGATGAGTGTCTAATGTTCATGGTGAACTGAGTTAGGAATAGTTGCAAAACATTGTTTTCTATTTTAAGAGAGTTTTCTTGAGCCTGTGAAGGAAAAAAAATGATTTGCCTTCTGTAATAAAATACACATACATAACATATACACACATCTCTTCATCTTTCTTAATTTTTTTTTTGTTAAGTATTAAATGTTTAAATGTTTGGCTCAATAGAAGTGAGCAAATGTGATTTCTGGGTATTCTATGTTTCCTGAAATTATGACCTATCCTGAAAACAAACCCTAGCCTGATTTTCATGTCTGCACTTAAAATAAGCCCCCCCTCCAAATAAGGCCTAGTTAAGCCCTATCCACCATCTGGTTGTATTAGGTAGGGCATGACGCAGCTGTAAAAATCAAGCTAAGGTATGGTTAGGTGAGGAGGTGAGGACAAAATAAGGCGGGGGGGGGTGGAGGATGAAATGAGGCAGACTGGTCTGGTAGGATTGCCTTCTGCCTCCTCTGTTGCATCACAAATGGGAATTGACTATCCCCCAAGCCCTGCTGATGTTAAAGTAAATCCCAGGTGTTGCGCTGCAATGGACAGACGAAAAGGGCTGAAGGAAGAGGAGCAGCGGGGAGAAGAAAGAGGGAAAGCGACCAAGGGAAAAGTGCCCCACCAACCAGGCATTGATGCATCCCACTACCGCCGCTGTGAGGGCGACTGAGTGAGAGAGCGATCCAATCCAACCTCTGTATATACGTGTGCATGTGTGAGTGTGTGTGTGTGTGTGTGTGTGTGTGTGTGTGTG